ATAAGATTATTCAAACAAAATCCGAACGTATAAAAGGCCGTGACGTCTTCTTAGAAAATAAACTCCACCTTTTGAATTCCTTTTACTCTGGGTTAGCGAAAGTTAATTTTTTTTTAGCTTTTCACGTTACAAAATTTATTTCGTTAATGCTATAATGTCTCAATTTGAAGTTTTCCGACGAAATAAGCACTATCCGATATTTTTCTATTAAGTATAAAGTTATTGATAGTGTTCCTGTCAGCGCAACGTCTTTTAGTACATAGTTCCTGTTCCGTGCCGGCTTTTAGCACATGTCAATTCGTGTTTCTTAGTCACGTGACAAATAATACACTCATTGTAAAACGTTGATTGCGCATGGTTTAGATTTGCGATTTAACTCAAGCAAACAAAATAGTCCTTTAGTGTGTCAGCTGTAAATTTATTGCCTTACAACGCTAAAATCCGGGGGTTGATTCCCCGCGGTGGACAAAGTTCAAATAAATCATTGTGTAAACTTGCACTAAGAAAACAACATATTAAACCTTTGAGAGCGCTAAACCACTAACATCAAAACAGAACCAAAAATGAGGGAACTGCAATATTATTTTTTACTATTAATTTATGTTCAACGCGGAGAAGGTAGAGTTTAACTTTAAAGTTTAATTCTCGCAAGAGAAGAAAGTCGTAAGTATGTTTTTGTGCATACTAATACTAGTATTACTATTATATTATAGTAATTAATACTTAATAACTAATTACTACTATTAATTAAACCACTAACATCAAAAATTATAGTAACTACTACTTGATAATTAGTTACCGCTATTAACTAAACCGTTAACATCAAAACAGAACCAAAAATGGGGAACTGCAATATTATTTTTTACTATTAATTTATGTTCAATGCGGAGAAGGTTGCGTTTAACTTTAATTCTCGAAAGAGAAGAAAGTCGTAAGTCTGTTTTTGTGCATATCTAATACTAGAATTACTATTATATTATAGTAATTAATACCTAATAACTAAGTACTGCTATTAATTTATTGCAGTTTTCATGTGTTTTCTAGATAATGTAAACGGGAAGATATCAGTTGGGAAATAACTTAATTGTGGACAGCACCCTTATTTTTGGTCTACTTTCAGAGAATATATACTGTATATATATATATATATATATATATATATATATTCTTTTATATGTCCAATAAAGTACATCCTTATTAGGGTGCCCTTGTAAGTTGTACATCATTACATGTCATTGTCAACCAAGAGATATGGGGTGGTACCAAATTTTAATGTGCCTCAACCCAAAGACCATCCCATGGATATATATATATATATACAATCAAACTTTTAACTCTGAGACATTTCAAAGTTAGTGTAAGAGCAAGCAGAAGTAGTTTGAAATGTAGGCCAAGGAGTAGAATTTACAATTACAAAGTATAATTTATCAAACATAAAATGAGGAAGAATGAGAAACTATTCTGTAATTATATTTTGTTAATTCTGTCAGTAGGTTAGTAAAAATGCTTACATTGTTTGAATTGCAGACTGCTGTTCAAACAGAAATAATTTCCAAGTCATTAATTTAAACCTTGATTGAAAAAGGTTGAGCTAAAAGTTAAAGCTTACATTAACAATGTTTTTACCAAAATAGCAAACTTTATTTTTAATTAATATAGTGTTCTAAATAATAATAAAGAATTATGTGTGCAGGATTGAAATTATAACAATAAAAATTTCTCTATCTAAACAGTTTAGAAGATGGACAATTTGGGAACTGCCCCACAAAAGAATTCTGTTTATGTAAGGCTACTTTGGCTCCCTGGTGACAAAAGTAAGTTTCCTGTGAACAAACTTAAGGAATCCATCCTGTATATAGACAAAGTGTTAATTGAGGAATCTTCTGAAAGTAAAAGAAAGACATCCAATGACTTATATGAAGAACGCCTGTTAGAATTGGAATGTGAACTGAGACTAGATAAGTCACTAGAAGATTGTGTACAGTCTCTACTTTGTAAATGGTGCAGTTCTTCTTTCCCAACTCAGTTTTGGATATTTCCAAAAAATCTTGATGTTTTCAAAGAAAAATTTGTTCCAGCTCACAAATGGAAAAAAATAGAATATTTTTCATTAGGATCAATAGTAGGTCTGAACACTTTTGTTGAGCATTACAATTGTTCTCAAAATGAAAAAGGCTCCTGCAAAATAACCCAAGTACAAGGTTATTTTGAACATGACAAAGAAATTTTGAAAATTTATTTTTGTGTTGCTAAAAACACTACAAATGGTCAAAGAGATGGCAGAACCCATAGATTTCATTGGTTAGTTGTATCTTATGCATCCATTCAAAGGATTTTGATTTCAAAATTTGAGAATTGTACAAAACTATATATGTATCTTGCCTCTCCCCCTTTGCTGTATGCTGTAAAAGCAAAGGATAAGTACATACCAGTAGATGAGATTGACAGTAAAACACCTAAGGTCAGGGTTGTACAGTTTGGAGAGGGGCAGAATCAGTGCACTAAATCTATGTTGGGAAAATCTTCAGTACTACTTATAAAGTTGAATGATAAAGAACACTGGGAGGTAACAAGCTGTCTGTTTAATAGATGTAAAGAAACTCCTGTTTTCTTCACACATATGGAAAACAAAACCTGTACAAAAAATCCCGTTTTACCTCCATTTTCTTCTCAGTGTTTTGGATTGAAATATGCTTTAAAGGCAGTTTTTTCAAATAGCTTTAATGTTCAGGATCAACACGTTGACAAAAGTATTTTGAATTCATATGCTAACAAAAATCCAAAGGCACTGGAAGAATCACTCTTTGAAATATCTGTAGCATTGGATGCTGGAAACATTGTTTTGTTTGAAAATGCTCTAAAAACACTTTTCCCACTGTATGACATTGATCTCAGTCTGAAGAATGAGAAGTTGATGCTTGTGCGACGAGTTGTTCTTACTCCTACGAGAATGGTTCTTCTACCCCCACAGCCTTACATGAAAAGTTTAATATTTAAGACAAATTGTGATGCTGAATATGCTTTACGAGTATCAATTCGTGAAGACAATAATATGAAATTGACTTTTACAATAGGAGAATCTGAAGATTGTCTTAATGAAATTGTTTACAAACCACTAATAAGAGGCCTAAGAATTGCAGGTCGTAAATATGAGGTTTTTGGCTGTTCTACTAGTCAATTACGTGATCATGGCCTTTGGTTATATGCAGAAGATGAGAAAAAGCAAACTGCAGAGAGTATCCGAGCATCACTGGGCAATTTGAATAACATAAGAACTATTTCAAAGTACATGGCACGTATGGGGCAACTGTTTTCACAAGCCCGAGGATCCCTGCAAGTTTCCAAGGACTGTGTTGTGGAAGTGGATGATGTCACTGGTGGAATGCATCCAGATTCTGGAAAACCATATATATTTTCTGATGGTGTGGGAAAAATTTCACCAAATTTAGCGAAGAAGGTATGTATTTATTTTGTAGTTTTTGCAGAATTAGTTGTAGCTTTACATATAGTTACAAACTTATAAATATTTAAATTGCATTTTTGTGAGTTACTAGATGTTCACATACACACAAGAATATCAAAAACATAAAAAGTAACATAAGCTAATTGTTTTTGTTTTGTTTTTATCAAAAGTTTTACTGATATGAAAAATTGTGTCTTTTTTTTGAAACAAGACAAATACAGGTGGGAATGGCATTAACACATAATGATTTAAACTTGAAGGATAAAATGGGTGTTGAAAGTAATTGAAACATGCGTTGTTTTACTTGATTTTTCTTAATTGCAAACAAAGATGTTTTTCTCCCCACATTTAAAATAATCTATGGAAAACAATGGATCATTTGTTCCTTCTAGACTGTTCTTGCTCACCCACCTTTTGTGAAAGTGAAAACTTAAACTCACTCTTTGCTGTTCAAGAGATCACTGATTCCCCTTTAAGCTCTAGTAAAATAACTGCTAATGGCAACTTATTCCATAAGTCAGTCATCATGTTAGAAAAATAAAACTGTTTTAACTGAAGCCTAACCTGTCTTTGTGTTCTTAGTTCTTAAACTTGTGTCCTGTTGTCTTCAGAATGCAGCACAAAGAAATCATAGGCCCATTGATCCCCCATATAATCTTTATAATCTTCAGTAAGATCATCTCTCATCCTTTATTTCTCAAGATATCTTAAAGTATCACTGTGAGATAATCCTTCCATTCTACTGATCTTCCTCTGGACTAAAATGTTAACAGTATTGCAGGTTAGATGTAAATAGTGACTTATATAGAGAAATAATTATATCTTTTTGACTTATAATCAACAAACATCTATAAATACACCCTATAAATGAGATGAAACAGACTTTATAAAACACACCAAGGATCTAAAACAAACCATGTTACAAAGAGGATGTAAAGATACCAAAATTGACAGACAAATTGAAAAGGCTAACAACACTCAGCAGAAAAACATCCTAAATCAGAGTAATACTAAGCTTTCAAATATAATTCCTCTTATTATTACCTATCAGTTTAAACTCAGAAACGTTTCACAAATTCTGTAAAAATATTTTCATCTCCTACAACTCGACAATCAGATATTTCCTAAAATTCCAGTTGTCTTCTTCCGAAAAAGAAGAATATAAAAGATATCCTTGTTCACACAAAAGTGAATTACTCAAAAATGGTTGTTGTCTATGTAATAAAGTCCATTGTCAAACTTGCAAGTTCATAAAAACCACTGACTCATTTTCTGACAAGCACAATGAAAGAAACTTTAAAATTTCTGAAGAATTTACTTGTGAAACAAAAAACACCATTTACCCTATACAGTGTAAAAAATGCAATCACCAATATGTTGGACATACGCAAACAACTCTTAGAGAACATTTCAACAACCGAAAAAGATCTCCCTGTTGCTTAACACTTTAAAGTATTGAAATAGGTGTTTTTCTTGTCAAACTATAAACACATCAAAACCGGTGTTGTAGAAATATTAGTTTGTAATTTAATTTCTAAAATAGTTTTGCACCTGCACATTTTGGGGGCCTTTTTGTCTTTCATATTATGAATTATCAAGTTACTGTAACTGCCACTTTATTTGGCGTGGGACAGTGAGATGCAATTCACTCTGCACAAACAACCACAATGGCATCAGGTTCCTCTTTGCCCGACGAGGAGGTGATGGCTATTGTGCGATGGGAAATGGAGTATTTAATGTGGCCTGGACCTTCTTCCGAGCCTAATACAGATATACCTCCTGTGAATCTAGTTCATGATGATGAGGATTTTGACAGTCTCTTCCTGCCACATACCTTTGCTAATACATCTGCCATTACTTTATTGGATCTCCCTAGGCTTTCCTCTTCTTTCTTAGACATGGTTTCTCAGGTATGTTACATACTTTCTCTATCTCCTGTATCTTATGATTCTTCTCTTTCCTTTCTTCAATCAACCAATTCTTCTGAATGTTAACTTTAGTTCTCTTCAGATATTCAGGTTCATGCTGAATAGTTTTATTCCAGCTGCATTCTGATGCTGTCTTACATTGTCCTCCACACCTGGTTGACACTTATGCCTTGGCTTATGATTGGGATGATTTTTGTTTCTTGGACTCCCAAACTCTGGAGTCTTCTTCAGACTTGAGGTTCAGATCCTCTAACATCTGTTTGACTTTCTCAAGCTCAATTTTCATGTCTGTGTCTTATCCTCACTACCATTTTGCATTATCTTTCCTCTATTCATCTTCTTTCCGAGGCAATCCGCAGTTGTCCTGAAAGGTTTCCAACAGATACCCATTTCCTTATCTTCTCCACTTCTTACTTGGTTGCTCTGTTGCTGGGATTTATTGGGAAGGATGCTCTTGTTGCTCAGTTGTGTTTGCCTCCCTTTTATCTCAGGAACCTTGGTCTGGCTCCTTTTCTCCACCAAGGTATTTTTGGTGGTGTACCTGATTTTCTGGAGTTGCATTTTGAAGCCACATGCCAACACTCTTCCTTATCCTTCCTTGTTGCCTGTCTCTCTCAAGCTCCTTTTATTTGTGTCTGTTTGGTGTTCTTATGAATACTGGGGATTGGCATCCAGTCATAGATCTTTCATATGTCAGTTGGTTTCTTGACTTTTCTCAATTTACCATGGAGAGTTTGCTCACCCTCTAGGGTCTTTGCTCTGGGATTTAGATGATGAAGGTGGACATATCTAATATTTGTATTTAGATTTCTCTCTTCCCTCCATTCATACTTTACCTTCCAATTGTTCATTAGGGTTGGGTTTATTAGTTCTGTGCGTTCCCATTTTGGCCTTGCATCTGCCCCATACGTTTATTGCCAAGTACTGTGTTATTTTGCTCATTACATTCATAGTTAGGGATGGCTCCATCATTATATGGACAACTGGCTTTTTTCAGTTTAGTCCCAACAGGCCTGCTATAACCATGCTCTTCTACCCCATTGAGAAGTGGCTCATCTTGGTTGGTTGGTTGGTGAAACTGGAGAAGTTTCATCTCACACTCACTCAATATGTGGTTCAATTGGGTGTATTCTTTAATTCACATCTCAGCCTTCTCCAGTTCACTTGAGGGCTATGAAGCAATTGGTTTCCACTGCTCTATCCTCACCTTCTCCTCCTGCATGGAAGCTTCTTTCTCTCTCTCTCTCTCTCTCTTATGAGGACTTGGGTTTTCATAGAACCATTATTCCCTTAGGTCATGCTCACATGTGGACTCTGCATGATCAATGGAACCTGTCTCGGGATCTCTTGTCCTCCCTCATTCATCTTCCTCCTTCTTTGAACACTGATTTTACCTGATGGCTCAACAGAACGAATACTACAGAAAGTGTTCCTCTGATTTACATATTTTGACAGATGCTTCCCTGATGGGGTGGGTTGTCTTAACTCTTGGGTGGTTTCAGGTCAAAGGTCCCCAGACGAATCAACCTTTAATGTCAGACATTTGGAACTCTTAGCAGTTTATTGGGTTTTGGATAATTTTTTTACAGTTGTATGAGGCCATTTGGTAATGAATCATACATACAACTCAATATGGAATTCTGTATCAATTGCCGAGGGGACACTTGGTCTTGCTCTTTCTTTTTTCACATCCTTAACCTTCTCTTCTGAACCCATTCTTTACAAGTTTGACTAGTGGCTTGCCATGTTCCAGGTGCCTTTAATTTTACTGAGAACATCTCTTGAGGCCCAAAAAGATATTTCCCATGGAGTGGTCCCTCAATCCTCAGGTTTTTCAGTGGCTTTGATCTCATCTGGGTACCACTCTCATCAATTATGCCTTCACCATTTACGAAAACATCAAGCTTCCTCCTTTTCTGGTGCTGGATAGATTCAGTCAGGAATGGTTCAGCCTCTTTCTTTATGCTTACTCCTCTTCATCTTCCCCTGAATGTTTCTCCCTTATTCAGGATGCTCCATATTGGGTCCTTGTGACAACCTATTGGCTGCTCAAATGTGGTTTCTGCTGAGTTGTCGACAGTCTCCCCCTCCTCTTCTTTTCTCCTGCTCTCTTGTTCTTCATCTTTGTTCTTCTCTCTTCCATCTAGCATTGTAGTCACTATAAATCATGCATGAGATTTATCCAGTCCTTTGCAAGACATTCTGGACCCTCTTTGTGCATAGCTATCCTTCTTTTCCTTTCTTTTTACCCAAACTCTTGTATATCCGTAGAAGTGGCATATTGTTTGCCATTGGTCACTGTGTATTTCTTTCTCCTCTTCTCGTTTTTTCTGTTCCTTATTTGTCTAAATTCATCATGTGGCTCTTCAAATAGGGATTATCGATATTGACTATTGTTAGTTACCGGGCAGCTTTTTCTACTACTCCATGGATTTTTTCCTCCCTGGGTTTTACCATGCTCTTTCATTCCTTTCACCACCTTCATCCTCCCATCCTTCTTGCCTTCCCGACAGGTACTTCTTTGTTCTCCATGACCTTACCCCTCTCCCTTTGAACCTCTGGCTTTCTCTTCCTTATACCAACTCTCCCTTAAAACCTATTTCCTCCTCCTGTTTGCCTGTGTTCATTGACGTTCTGACATGTACACCATCATTTCCATTCTTTTTTGTCACTCCCATGCCCTTCTGTATGCTGATTGTGCTCTTCTCCATAAAATGTCTGCAGCATGTCAGGGTGACAGCACATTCACACCTATATCTTCTTTATTCACATTTGGATCCTGATCACCTCCTCTGTCATGTCCATGCAGTCCATTGTTATTTGGCACACATTTCTTTCTTTAGTGGTTTCTAATCTTGTCTCCTCATTCCTTGGAATCCTTCTTCCATTCATGACTTTCTCCCACTACGCTAACCAGATGGCTTCATCAACTCATCCATTTATCATATTCTTTGTTGGATAAGCATGCACTTCAACATTTCCATGTGTCTTCCCATCAAATACTTCACCTTGTATACACTTCAGCTACTCACCTCTGTTGTCCTTTGGAGGAGATTGCTCAGGTTG